GGACACTGCAGGAGAATGTCGGAAGAGCATTGGCCGAACAGAGTCCTGGACTGGCAGCCACCCGGAAAGCGTAGACGAGGACGACCGAGAACCACGTGGATGGAAGGAGTCCGAGAAGAGATAGCCGGCCGAGGTCTACAGGAGGGTGACTTGGAGGATAGAGATGTGTGGAGCTCTGCTCTGACTTGAAGAGGTATCCCACGTTGGAACACCGGAAATAAGTAAGTAAGTAAGTAAAGAATCATTAGTTACACTTTACTCTTTTTCAACCAATATATTCAAAATAATCACAAGATTGTGGAATTCCTTCTATATTCATTATTGGGTTATCGAAGGAGCTTATTATGAAAATGTAATCGATTTTTGACACCATCATTGGGTTTTTGATTTTTTCCATCTTTTTTTCGTTGAAGTATGTTATATTCATACATTTAAAGGATATCGAGGATTTAATCCATGTTTCATTGAAATCGGCACATTCGTTTAGGCGCTATTGTCTATACAACAGATTTTTCGGGCGCCATCTTAAAGGAAAGGGCGGATAGTAATGTCGAGGTAGGAGAATCATCCTCGGATGACCTCTAACTTAACACAAACGGGAATAAGTGCAGATAAATAAAGAACAAAAAAAAAAAGAAATAAAAATTGGACGTGTTAGTATACAATTTGAACTTTGATGAGTGGCCGATAGCAACATTCTCCGAAAGGTAAACCTGCATCGAAGGTTGTAATTGAACTCAACAGGTACTCAGCAGTGGGTATTTTAGATTACCAATATATGGTATCATATCAAGTGGTGTTTCGCGCAGTAAAACAAATACCCAAATATATACATCACCGGAAACGAAAGGACTTTTCTTTTGCTGATTAATGGGGAATTCTTATAGATTGTCGCATGATTTCCTTTATGCTATCAGCAAACTGATAAAATTGGGAACGTTTAAATTGAACCGATTTTTCGTCTGAAACACAGTCTTGGAAACATGAAGATTCTGCTTGTTAGTCTGGCTTTAGTCCTGCGTATGTAAAACCACTTTCTATTATTATTCTATTATTTAATAGATTTATTAATCAGAAATAATTTAAAGTTCATAATTACTAATAACAATGATGCATTGTATAGGCCATTACCGATTGATAACTATCGATAAGAAATTTATAAATACTATTTATCGATATTACCATTTGTTCAGTTCGTTAATTTTATTTTTTATTTATTTTACATGAAATTATAAATAGTAAATTACGATTAGTAAGTATTTTTGTTTTGTTTTAATTTACACAAAACCGTATATGTATATGAATCGAGAGAATTTTCTATAGTTTAATTTTAATGTAAAAAACAATCATCTGTCTTATGGACTATTGAATGGTAATCCTTCTCCCCCCCCCCCCCACACACTACGAGCTACACTGGGTACTTATAAATTGAGATCTAGCGTCTTTTTTTCTCTAGCCATCTAGAAGCATCCATATACGAGTGACATCAATAAATGGGCAGAAACATGCAAAAGTGTTTTTAAAATTTTAAATAATAAAAAATAAATTTTTTGCAAATAAATTTGACAAAATAAAAATTTTTGTCTATGGATAGGACATGAACCACAGATAGTAACTAGCACAATAGTCAGGGCTATCGATAATTTTAAACTATCGATACTATCGACTATCGCCCATCCCTACTTGTGACCAAGGTCAATCAAACTACCAGGTTCGCTCACTTGAACTTTGAACTTTTGAGAACTTGAAACGTGACGTAAGGAATAGACTGTCAGACCTACCTATTACTCTTTCAAGCCTATCAATGAAGGCTTATTTCAACATTATTGTGCTTTTTTTTTTTGTTTTCTTGTTAAATTTATTATGAAGAATACTTTTCTGTGTTTTTGACGTTTGATTGAAGATAATTTCGAATAGATAAATAAATAAATACGCCTTTCAATCTAGAATAAAATGCTATGAAAATTACAGGCCAGACCTGAAACGAAAAGAAGGAAATTGATATTAAGATTATTTTTAAATTCTTTATTTCAAAATCTCTGTAAATAATATACAAATATATCACATAAATAGAAAAAACTAAGATTTATATTTATTTAGAGAACATTTTAGAACAATTTTTGTGTACTCGTGGGTATTTCTTTTAATATTATAACGATATTAATATTATAAGGGAGAAGATCTTTGTCAGGATTTGCAGTCAAAATTTCTTTAAATAAACAAATTTAATTTAAAAAATAAACAAATTTTACTGCATATTCCTGATAATTTATTTCTACCTTATGATTCTAACGGTCAACTACTTATCTGTCTCTAAAATAATATTATAACGAGTATTTATTTTTTATTTTTCATAACATGTTACAGAGAATTCGTTTGTTCTTACTAGCATTTCTTGTATTTCTCATAATAATATAATTATTAATAGAATCCTATAGAATACCAGGTACAAAATGCGCAGTTGCATCTTGCAACAATAATCTAATTGACACAAAGAAGATGGGAAAGAAAATTTCATTTCATACTTTTCCAAAGGACTCTCGAAGAAAAGATTGGATTTTAAAATGTAAATGTAAAACTTTTTCTTAGGAAACAAAATGTAGAAATTAATGAAGAAAGCCTTTCTTTCAGCAACGGGTATTTAATAGAATCAAATTTTTAAATACCCAATGATTTTTAAAACAATTAAGAAAACATAAAATCAAAGCCAAAAAACTTGAGAAAAATCACTACATAGGATTACTTATGACATAAAAATGTAATATTTACAAAAATTCACGGAAAGAAAACGCTTTTTTAATGTTAGATTAAATACTTTTTTTTTTTTTTTTTTTTTCAATATTTCTATTATTTTATATTATGTTCTGTATTTATTTGAAATATTTAAAAATAGTATTGTGGTACTTTGCAAAAAATCATACATCAACTTGTTAAATTACATTTTATTTGCTTCAGAATAAACCAAATATCAAATCAACCTTTCTCTCACCTTTCAAATTTATTAAAATTAATAAATTAATAAGTTATTTGGCAATACAGTATTGATTTAATGTAGAAAAGTAAATAATAATCTTAAAAATTCCAGAAACAAAGGCCGGAGGGGTAAAATCAGTCTATTGGCTACGTCAGAGCTCGATACCTCCCCACAAATTTCTCTCTGAGTGAGCGAACCTGGCAGTTTTATTGACCATGACTTGTGTCACACTTGATTCCTAGGTGCGCTATTACAGCTAAAGCGAAACCTACACGGTAATTTGGAATTGCATTCCGAGGCTCTATTGACGTTCTGCTTTATAATGTAAGATACTGATTGAAGTACTGATGGACGAGACTGGTGGATTTTCGAAAATCTGGAGGTTAAATCTCGAGAAGTTGAGGGAAGACTGAGGTAGAAGTGGTGGGGAGACTAACCTTACTACTAGATAGTTTAGTTTACCTAGGCCACATAAATATTGTAAATTCCTAATTTTCTAAAAAGTAAATAGTTTTTCATCTTTTTATAAAACATCTTCATCTATTTTTTTTTTTTTTATAGTCAAGAGAGCAATAAATTAAAAAAAGTCCAAACTTCACAATTTACTTTTAGAAAAAAAAAAATCTTTAACTGTTGTGTATATTTCTTTTTCCATTTTCCTCAACAAACGTGTTACTTTCACAATACTTTTCCTTAATTTTTGTAAGAAGTAGACTAATATGTTTTTAATTTTGTCAAAACGATTTTCAGCTACTAGGAAGTAGTTATCATATCTAAATCTTTCTCTTGATGTCCAATGATGTAAATGCGCTAAATAAGCCTGTTTAGTGAAATACATTATTATAAATGGGCAATGCACCAGATCTACACTGCCTGTTATTTCAACGTCAATTCAGCTAAATAGCGTCAGTATGATTGATAAGTGCAAAGCAATACTTAGGAAAAAGATTGAAGCAATCCTTGTCAGTCATTTAGGGATGGGTCGGTACAGATTTTTAGTGTATCTGTTCCAATCCGTTCCATTCCCCAAACGGAACGGTTCCAATTTATCGATACAGTTCCAAATCCGTTATTCCAGAATTTACAACCTAGACATGGTAGATAGTCGATAGTTTTCCACTATCGATGAAAAATTAGCGGTAGTATCGATAGTTTTTCACTATCGATGAAAAACTAGCGGCAGTATCGATAGTTCAGCGACTTCCCACCACAGACTAAAGGAAGATTTATTGCGCTCTATTCTTTGTTCATTTACTTTAAAATGTTGCATAAGCTTCAATTTAATTAATATAAAATAAAACATTTAAATTTTTTTTTCTTTTCTCTTTCGCGCCTCTACCCTCAAGGGTCAGGGTAAATATAAAATTATAAATTTTATATTTCGATTTTTACAAGATTTAAAATCCAATTATAGGGTTACAATCATATTGCAAATAATCTAAAGAAAACAAAGAAAATAAACCGAAAAGTAACGTTAGTAAAGAAAACTAATTACAAGGATAAATGTTGGTGTCTAAAAATGCGATTTTTTTTTCCCATAAAATTGTAGAAGTAATACTAACAAGTACTAATATATTTTTAATAATGTAAAGAAATTTTTAAAGGATTCGTTTCTATATGTTTTGGCTTCTTCGTTGCAATACCATTTATATCTTTCGAAACAGAATTGTTAAGAAGAAATCAGTATAAGTCAATTAATAATTACAGGCAAAGTATTTTAAAAATTACAATATTTTTTTATTTTTTAAAAATAATATATATTGTTACAAATGCTTTGAAAAAAATATGTACGAAACAAAATTAGTAGAAACGTAGATGCTACTTATGGTAACGTACTATTGTATGTTAAAATAAAAATGTAAAAAGTTTCATGCATTCCTGTTTTTAGGATAATTAAGATTAACAAATTTTTGTGTTTATGGTTTTAAACATTTTAGAATAAGAATTATTTAATATTTTCGTAAATAAGTTTATTTTTAAAATAGTGAAAGAGATAATTAAAACAAGATAATTGTTTAAATAATAGGAGTTGCCGTTTCTCCGTTCCTTATTAAACCGGTCTCCCCACTCCTTATCGATCCAGCTGGAACAGAATTGGAACGGGTCCGGAATGATTTGCCAACTGTTCCTCCGTTCCATATCGAACCGGCGGTATCGATAATTCTCAGTCGTTGGAACAGTTCCGTTCCGTTCCACAGTGAGATTAAGTTCCCGTTCCCGATCTAGTTCCATTGACCCATTCCTACAGTCATTCATGACTTTTCGCACAGGCGGATTTACGGGAGGAGGGGAGGTTTTTGGGCTGAAGCCCTCTCCAAAATGGTAAAATATAACCATGTTTTACAGAAACAAATATTGAAAACTATCTTTTAAAGTATTCTTGTTCGTTTAATTACATTGAATAGGAGTTCAGGAACAATTGAATAGGAATTTCTTTCTTTTTTTTTTCAAATTATTTCTATGGAGATTTACGAAAAAAAAATCTTTCGGGGTGAAGCCCCCCAAAATTAAATCCTGGATCCGCCAGTGACTTATCGTGTAAGGTCCGCTAAAAGTCTTGCTGGTTTCGCCCTAGTGTTCGATATTACACCGTTCTCTGAACGAATCCTTCATATATTTTTACATAATTTTACTAATACAATTACAATGGTTATTAATTTGTTTTTTAGTCTACGTTGGAGCTGGTTATGGACAATGTAAAGTTCCCTTCACCTGTCCTGTCGTGTACAGACCAGTCTGCGGCTATAAAATCATCAATCCATGGGGGACTTTTTACTACGAATACCGGGAATTTACTAATAGGTGCATGTTTGACCACTGCTCCGATGGTAATTCAAACTACCTACATATAATAAATTCTAATATTCTTTGTTGAGAGCTGCTAATAGATCCATTTCTTTCTTTTCAGGTTTCAAGTTTTTTAATGAAGGAAAATGTCCAAAAATTTCAGAAGAAAGCACAACATGAACAAAAAAAAACTCTATTGTATTGTTGAGTTTCAAAATAGAAATAAATATAGATAGAAAGTAAACTGAATATAAACTTTTAAAGTAAATTATGAAATAATAACACTTAAGTTACACCCATTGAACCCATAAACCATTGGAATCGCTGTGCTATTGGTGATTTAATTGATGAATAAAAGAACGCCTTGCATTTTATTCGTGGATCTATCAGTTAATAACGATCCATCTATTGCATACCAAACTCTTCAATCACACATCACAAGTCTTGAAAAATGGTGTCAAAACTGGAGGATTAAAATTAATTCCAATAAATCCCATCAAATTACCTTTATTCTTCGTCGTAAATCTATGACTTCCTGTTGTTTCCACTTATCCCTGTTGAACAAATCTTATAACTAGGACTCCACCTGGACAAACGACTCACTTGGATCCCCCATACCAGACTGAAAAGACTAGAAACCGCCCGACGTTTTCCACTACTGCAGCACTTATAGACAAACGCTCTCAGCTCCTAACTATTTACAAAAGACTCATATATATTACTATAATAAGGCCTTTTTGTTCTTACAGGATAGCTTTGGGGCTGTACTAAAGCATCAAATTCCTCTCGTATCCAATCCCTACAGTCCAAAATCCTCAATGCTCCCTACTTTGTCACAAATAAAATCATCCATCAAGACCGTAATGTACCTCATGTTTCCAATCTAGCTCAATCCAGATACCTATCCTTCCATAATAAACTTCTGAACAATCCGAACCCTCTTGTTTCCATCCTTGCTTCCTCTTCTATTCCTGATAACCCTCCGAGGCGTCTGAAAAGAAGATGACCTCGGGACTATCTAATACAGAAATATAATGGGAGTTCTAACAATGGGTAGTTTCCCTTCATGTTACTTGTTTCAAATTTACTTGTTGTGTTTATCATTTATACAGTTGTAAATTTCAATAATAAAAAAAGAAGGTTCTTTTCTTAAATGGAGACAGATTAAAGTTGCACCAGTTTTTTATTTTCAAAGTGTTTACTGAGTTTTAGAAAGTTATGAAAATTCTTCCAACCCATCGGATCCATAAAGTTTGCTTCACTTTTTAATATAAAATAAAACATTTTAATATCAATGCAATGTGAAAGATATTTTTTAATATTTTATTTATACATGAATGAATTTGAGCTATAAATTTCTAACTTTTTCGATTCTCATATGTAGTTAATAAAGCAAATCATCACAACAAATTAAAAAACTGTTATAAATAATCCACTTGGATAGCCCTATATACTTTTTTCTTTAAAATCGATTAACAAAAATATTTAATCAATTTGAGACTCAAAAACTCTTATTCGGACTAGATAAAACCCTTCTCAAATTTGAAGTTTTGATTGATTATTGTAATGAATATTATTTAAATATTTTTATAAGACTCAATTGAAACAAAAAAAGCTGTCTTAAGGAAATTTAAAATGATTATAAATCAAAACTATCATTGGCAATCATTCAAACTTGTGTAGCTTAATTGTTTTCATATTTTCTCTTTTTATGTAATTAAGATAATTTGTTTTAATTGCTACTACTCAATGTCACCTAACTATATTGTAAGCCTATCAACAAAGACCTATCAACTAAGGAATTAACTGAAAGGAGAACCATATTTGTTCAGTAAGAAGAGAAGAATTTGTTTATATATCTAAATTAACAGACAATATTAAAATATGTTTATTACCTATGACTACACAAATTTAAAATTCAGATTATGTAATAATAATAAATTAGCAATAAGGGACACAGAATAGATTATAGTCGGATAAGAATAACATCATATATAAATTTGTGAAAAATGAATATTTTTTATTATTGAAATTTAGAACTGTATTAAATGATAAATACAACAAGTAAATATGAAACAAGTAACATGATATCTAAAAAATGAAGAGAAACTACCCATTGTATTTCTATATTAGAAGGTCCTGAGGCCATCTTCTTTTCAGACGCCTCGGAGGATTACTAGGAATAGAAGAGGAAGCAAGGATGGAAACAAGACTCGGATTGTTCAGAAGTTAGTAACACATATATTATAAGTAAGTTAAATTGAAAGTGAACAAAGTGCTGCCATCTCTTAACAGCTACTAAAACTATTATTTCACCTCCTGGTAAGTGCTGTTGTTTTTTGTACTTTAATTATAACTATTAGTTCAACTTTGGTATATCTATACTGTTAGTTAAAATGGTCATTGTAAGAGTTTGTGCTGAAGGTGACATTTTGCAGTATGCAACTGCTGTAAGTAGTCTGCTACTATTGAAAATAAAATATGAAATTTTACTAAAGAATCATACAAAAATAATCAGTTTTAAGTTCTATTGTAAAAAAAACAACTCAATTTCGACATAAGATCTTTTGCATTGGCATATTATGTTACTATAAGTCATATTTTTTTAAAAATATGTATTGAGTTTATCTAATTTTTTATTGTTTTTATTACTATTTTATTATTGTTATTATAACAGTTAAATATTGTAATTGTGGGTTGATGGTGAATAATGAAGAGAAGGATAGTTGGGGTGATCAGTCAAAATAAAAATGGCAAAAATAAATAATAATATTTATTTTAACATTTGCCGACGTTTCGACCCCAAGTTCAAGCCTTCATCAGGGCTAAGAAAAGAACCAGATAACAATTGGTATGAGAAACATAAACAATGCAGGTAAAAAAAACTTAAAAGAGCAAAATGAAGTAGATAAATGAACATTAAAGTAAAATAAAGTAGGTAGAATAATGGCAATGACAAGAACTAAGAAATAAATAATAATAACGGTTACAAAGTGTGGACTAATGAAGTAAACATAATAAAAAAAAAAAGTACTAAAATGGTAATCTTAGAATAAAATGTAAAACAGAGAAAAGGAATATGAAGTTATATAAGAAATAAATATAAATAGAAAAGTTGAGGTATTGTAAATAGAAAATTGATATATTGTGAAGTATATCAAAATGTACTGACAATGTATAAGTGAACATTTGATATCGTTGATACATTGATTTCGAGTCAAAACATCAGCAAATGTTATAATACATATTATTATTTATTTTTGCCATTTTTATTTTGACTGATCACCCAATCTATCCTTCTCTTCATTAAATATTATAATTTATTTAAATAATAAAATTAATATATTAAAGGAATGACTAGCAGAAACAATATAGAAAATTTCTTTAGATGTAAACAGAAAAACTAAGCACTTAGCAGGCTGCTTCCTTCAAAAAATCATTCCTCATGTACGCAACATAGTTTTGGAATTCCTTATCCACCTCCATATGTAAAATCTCATCTTTGATTATATTTAAACATCTAATTACTCATCCATTGTTTTAACTATCAATATATCTAAGAATAATTTTTTTATGTATTAGAGTTACCAGTATATTGTTTTACTCATAGGAGCAGACCTTCAATTTCGAGTGGTGGGAGGTAATCTATAATTACTAATTAATTATAAATTTAATTATTTATTCACAATATTTCTCCAATTCTTCTTCGGTGCATACTATTTCAAGTTTATTTATTTTCAGCCATTTTACACCAATTTTCAAAATTTTGTGTCAACTTAATGACTACACATCTGATTACGACGTTTCGACTCGTTGAGCCATTTTCAAGTCTAAAATTTTTTTACAATTTACAGTCATATTTAAAACATTACATACTTCAACATATAGAGATTAATTTTATATACCTAAATACCAATCATGTACCTGTCCTTTTCAACTTATGCGAATTGCATGCGTCTACTCATGTAAAAAAAAATTTATTTTTGTCATGTCCACCTTTAATTATTTTATAACATTATTGTTAATCAATTATTTATTATTAATTGATTCAAATAAGTTAAAATAAATCCATATATAATATTGGGAAACATCATTGTATATGTTTAAAATAAATAGTCATCCCCTACTCCTTTAAGAATAACCAGTCACGAAACTGAAATGAGGCTGATGAGATGTCAGTGACACAACATAAGGTAATTTTAACTTATTTGAATCAATTAATAATAAATAATTGAGTAATAATAATGTTATAAAATTCGGTAATGTTTTAATTCTTTTAAATTTAATTGTTGACAACTATTTAAAATAACAGGCCACATTTTTTCAAAGTCCTTTAAGCTCTCCATCATTTCTTTAAAATGTAGTGAGTGGCTCTGCAATGAAGTGTTAGCCCTTTCTACATCCGCCAAAATTTGCTGTGTCATTGTAAGACAGATGAATATTTCGGGCTTCATTAATTGCTTACAGAAGCCTTTCACTTTAAAGCCAGCATCGTTTTTTTCTATTTCTCTAATATTCTATCTGAATATTTGGTGAAAAAATTTATTAGGTCATAATTGTCAAGCAGTGATTTTATAGGCTGATTTTTCAATGTCCACCTTGAGGGACAAAAATATCTTAAAGTAGTTGGATTTTGGGAAATAAAAATTCTTAGCCTCTTGGGAGAAGCTTTCACAAAATTTTTACGTCGTTTGACAGAGATAGAGAACTGCGAAATTCGTCTATATTTTGTAAACAATCTTGGGCTACGAGATTTAAAGAATGATCTTGACAGTGAAAAAACAGTACTCTTGACTCCATCCTTTGAATCCTCGCCTGAAGGCCCATGCGCAACCAGCTACATTGCTTGCACTGTCATAGCATTGGCCGTGTAAGTTAGTGATATCAAGCTCAAATCTAATTAAACTATCATTTAAAATTGAAAATAAAGTCTCTGCGTCTGTTTTAGGGACGGCGTAAAAGTCCAAAAAATATTCATCAATTTCCAATTTATCATTAACACTTCGAATGCACAGGGAAACTTGCTCATTTGCGGCAATGTCACAGGTTTCATGCAACATAATGGCATAATATTTTTGTGGTTTAATTTTCAGCAATATATTTGTTATTATGGATCTAGCAAAAATATCAATCATTTCATTAACTATTTCGGAAGATGTCCACTTATATTTTGTTCTTGAAAGCCAAGATTTTAACTCCTGGTTGTCCTCAAACCTTAATAATAATAATTTATGTAAATTAGATGAATCCTCCAAACGGCTTCGAATTGCAAGACCTTGTTTTGCTAAATACTTTTTTTTATTGAAATTTACAACTGTATTAAATGATAAATATAATAAGTAAATATAAAATAAGTAACATAACATGTACAACATGAAGAGAAACTAGCACTCTAATTATATTTCTATATTAGGAGGTCTTGAGGCCATCTTCTTTTCAGAAGCCTCGGAGGGTTATAAGGAATAGAAGAGTAAGCAAGAGGGTCCGGATGGTTCAGAACTTTATTATGGAAGGATAGATATCTGGATTGAGCTAAATCGCAAACATATGGTACATTAAGGTCATTATGAATGATTTTATTTGTAACAAAGTAGGGAGCATTGAGGATTTTGGATTGTAGGGATTGGATAGGAGAGAAATTGAATGGTTTAGTAGAGTCCCAAAGCTTGATCCTGTAAGAACAAAAAGGCCTTATTATAGTAATATATATGAGTATTTTGTAAATAGTTTGGAGCTAAGAGCGTTAGTCTATAAGTGCTGCAGTAGTGGAAAACGTCGGGCGGTTTCTAGTCTTTTCAGTCTGGTATGGGGGTTCCAAGTGAGTCGTTTAATAAACCCATAAATGGGTTGGAAGAATTTTCATAACTTTCTAAAACTCAGTAAACACTTTGAAAATAAAAAACTGGTGCAACTTTAATATGTCTCCATTTAAGAAAAGAACCTTTTTTTTTTATTAATTGAAATTTACAACTGTATAAATGATAAATACAACAAGTAAATTTGAAACAAGTAACATGAAGGGAAACTACCCATTGGTAGAACTCCCATTATATTTCTGTATTAGAAAGTCCTGAGGTCATCTTCTTTTCAGACGCCTCGGAGGGTTATCAGGAATAGAAGAGGAAGCAAGGATGAAAACAAGAGGGTTCGGATTGTTCAGAAGTTTATTATGGAAGGATAGGTATCTGGATTGAGCTAGATCGGAAACATGAGGTACATTACAGTCTTGATGGATGATTTTATTTGTGACAAAGTAGGGAGCATTGAGGATTTTGGATTGTAGGGATTGGATACGAGAGGAATTTGATGCTTTAGATAGAGCCCCAAAGCTCGATCCTGTAAGAACAAAAAGGCCTTATTATAGTAATATATATGAGTCTTTTGTAAATAGTTGGGAGTTTAGAGTGTTTGTTTAGTAAGTGCTGCAGTAGTTGAAAACGTTGGGCGGTTTCTAGTCATTTCAGTCTGGTATGAGGGTAAATTTGCTAAATACAAAATCGAAGGTAAGATTTTTAATAATGATAATCTGGACTCAATCCATTTTTGATGAGATACAGAAATTTGAGACTTAATATCAACACCCTTTCAAACAACACTTTCTTTAAAAATACAAGATTGGTGTGCATGTGAACTTTTGCACAGCTTTCTTCCAATTGCAAAATCCATTAATAATAAACGCAAGGTCCGCTTTCTTAGGGGCCAGAGCATATTTGTTATCTAAGTAATACTTTTGGCAAATGTAACAAATTACTTCACCGTTAGTGCTATCGTATTTTAACCGATTAAATATACATGATTTGAGAAATTTGCGTGCATAAGGCTTGGATGTTACATGCGTATGTTGTTGTGACCTGCCTAATTGAGTTGAAGGTGAAGAACTAGCTGTGACCGATGCAGGAAAAGACTCTGCTGGTGCAATACCAGAATTTTCTCCTAGTTTAGAATTATCGTTACAGAAAGCACTTCAACATTTTCATCATACAGTGGCTGAATAATACAGTGTGGTCATACGGATGGGGCAGCCATATTGGATCTGCGGGAAACTAATATTTGAATAGTCTCTCTTTATTATTTAAATTTAAAAAGTAATTATTGTAACAAACTATTAACTAGAATGGTTTGGGAGATAGAATTGAAGTTGAACAAGTTGAATGAAGCATATGAATCACTTATATCATGCGAAAATAAATAATAAAATCGAAGAACAATATTTTGTTTTTTTTCTATTTAACTTCTTTTAAAATATATTTCAATAAACTTCAGCATATTGCGATTTCCATTTTATTCATCTAATTCTCTCATTGGCAAATTTCACAAACAAATTTATATAATTATTAAAACATTAAACAAAAACTGAGTGAAAATTAACTTTTATTGGAAAACCAGAAACTCAATTCTAAGTCAACAACCATGAAACTATTTTTATTTTTCTTCTTAATATTCTCCTTTGAAAAAAACAAAACTTTAAATAAATGTAAATTGAGTAAATATAAATTATATAATGTAAATTTCATAAAAATAAATTATTTAATAAATATAAATTAATTAATGTAAATTTAATAAATATAAATTATTTAATGTAAATTTAATAAATATAATTTATTTATTTTTACTTTGTTACTTGCGACGGAACACCACACTAGTGTTGCCCAAATTCGAGACCATGACTGTTCTTGGTCTTGCACACTCAATCTTGGTCTTGCGCAAGTCTCACAACAGTCTTCCAGTTACCTATTAGCTTATTATTATAGAGATATTACTGTAATTTTTCAGATATGGGAAACCTAACTAAGCCCGAATGAAAAATTGAGTTAAATTCCAAAGGTTATTGGTTACACCAATGCTTTACATATGTTAACTAAATTTGTCAAGTTTTAGTGACTATTTTACTTTAATTTTTAATCATAAAAAAGATTTTTTTTTCCAGTCTTGCTCTTGGTCTTTCAACAGTTAGGCGGCCTTGGTCTTGCAAAGTGTATGACCAAAACCGATTTTGGACAACACTAACCATTATAAATCCACTACTATTACAAATTTAAATAGTTCAAAATTTGATTCTTGATCAATAGATTCATTTCTGATCATTGATAAAAGTATTTTTTATGAAGTGGTTTACCTCTTACCATAATGTAGACATTGTATATCACATCTAAAGAAGAAACAAAATTGATCATTTTACTTTTAAGTCTGTTACAGGTGGTAGGACAGTATTTGTTTCAGAGTGGTATAACGTAGTTTTTATATAATTTGAATTTTTTTATTTACTAATAAATATCAATATACCTGTTATCAATGAAATGGATTAATAATAATATGATAAATTGTAATAATGTTCGTCACACCTGAATTTTCCATTAGCCCAGAATCTAAGCTTTCCCTTGTTTTATTTATTTTTCATTACTTTTTTGGGAAATCAGAGATTGTTGGCTATAATATATTTTAAATTTTATCACACAGGATATACCAAGTAAAAATAACTAGTAGTGAAACATAAAACTGGAAGGATAAAATACAATCAATTATCAATTGATTGAAGAACTATCCGACTAAACTTGAAAAAGAAAGCATTTTTAATCAACAAAGGAATATAAAAAAAAACATAAGATAAAACAGAGAATATTTATTTATTTACAAAGGAATTTAAATTTATAACTGCTGCACATATACATATACAGATTTATTGCAAAAAACAGACATATGAAGGAAATTCTTTTTACTTATTGAATTTATCCTAAGTCTAAATACAATAAACCTCTTAAGAATACAATCTTTAATGTTGTGACAATTAATTATGTGTTCTTCATCAACAGAACTCATTTTTCTCTATGAAAAATCGTCTTAAATTACAGAGTTGATTTGGGTCATTTAGGTTTTGAAAATGACTTAATCCTTAAATTTGTTACTTTATTTTATTGTTTTTCCTTTGTAATTCAGTGGTTATGAAAGAAAAATATGGAAATTAAGTTTGAAACTTGGTTATAGAAGATATTTTTATAGTTTGAGGCTATTAGCTGATACAATTTTTATTTTGAAGCCAGCGATTTCAAATATGAAATTAAGATTTGGTTTTCCTATATGGTTATTCTTATTTTCAATATTAAAAATATCAGTATAGTTGATAATCCTTAAATGATAAAAAAACCATCTTGAACAAACATTAACAGTTTTAGAATTTCAATAATAAGAAAAATAATAATTTCATTTCAGAACTTATGCAGCACAACAATCTATTTCTTAAAAATCAATCATGATGAGTATCATACCACTTATTCTGGCAACAAAGAAAACTATTTTTAGTTACTCGAGATCTCAATAAAGCTAAGGATCATCAACTATATTCATATTTTAATGATAAAAGCAACAATAACTATAAAGAAAAATCAAATGTCAATTTTATACTAGAAACTAATAACTTCGAGATAAAAATTGTGCTAGCTAGCAGTCTCGAAACTACAGACACTATCTTCATATAACCAAGTTTCAAACTTGATTTTCATCTTTTATCACTGAATTAAAAAGGAAAATTAATAAAATAAAGTAAATAATTAAAGTATACTCACGATTTTAAGTCTATGAAGAAGAAACCAAACTTATCACATTAAACACTAATATTTATAACTATTAAATAAAAACTACCTATTAATAAACTAAATATATTACTAAAACAACACAATTAAACAAAATATTACTAATAAAATAAGAGTCTGTGAAGATGAAACCTATCACTGAACATGAAACCAAAACTATCACTTTAAACATTAAAACGTATAACTATTCAATAAAAACTACCTATTAATAAACTAAACCCATCACTTAAACAACGAAATTAAGCTTCTAAACTAAATTAATGGCAGTAAAATATGAAAATTTAAGTTTTGAGATGCCTATAGAGCAAGCAGATAGCAAGGAAGATCCAAGATGGCCAATCAATCAAAATTAACTTCAATTAATTGTGTAGTTGTAATCAAACAATTAATTGAACATAATGAAAATTAAATACAATAGTTGATTTGAATATAGTAAATAATAAATGAAAAATGAGGTACATACCTTAAAACAAAATAACACTGAAACATAGAAATCTAAAATCCTTCATAAACATCAGAAGTGAACTGAAGTATTGAGTTAAGCTTTGTCCCTCAGCTCAGCATTTCCAATCTCTATCCTTCTTGATTTTTTTTTTTTTTTTTTTTTTTACAGAGTAATTGAAAACAGAACATTTCCATTATTCTTAGAGGGCTTAAGTGCCCCAGAATAAAATTTACTTATCTTCTTTAATATATAAAAAATATGTAATCATATCACATATTTAAATATAGTAATGATATAATTACTACATTGGATATCATAAGATCCTTTATTTTTCATACCGGGTTTAACTTATATTTTTACGATGGTTACCTTTTCATTTTATAGGTATTTTTACATTTTGAATATTTATTTAAAACCATATTTTTATAATTGTAATCCAGAGTACATTTTATTACATAGTGAAATCCTTTAAAAATTCATGAATATTAATACTGGGCTACGTTTATTCAAACCGAGGACTTAGTCATGTGATTGCAATGGTGAATGTCTCCAAAATGATTTATGATCTAATATCAAATAAAAACAGAATAAGCAAATTAAACTAATATAAACAAAATTCACATTTGGCTTCAATACTTTATTTGAATATTAAATTCCATTATTGATGGTATTAAAGATTAAATTTATATCTGACTCAAATATTTGGCAGGATAGAAAGAATGAGAAATTAGTGACCACCATGAAGTATCTTTGCCCACTTCTATGAACTCTTCATTTACCTCAGTGATGCACATAACATAAGAATTAGTTGATAAGAGCATGGTTGCTATATTTTAAGGACAAAATTAACTATTTAGAAATTAAAATTAAATTTTTGTTAGTACACAAGAATGTTTTGTTTGCTTATACAAATGGCTCTTTAATTCTTAATTATGTATATCAGAGTTAAGCTAAGTTCAATTTTACTTATACTATGTTTTTTGTACCTATTTCCAAGTATAATCGCTGTAAACAAGTTGCAAGTGTAATAAAAAACTTTTATCAATCAATATAACATAAACTTTAAGATAACCAGAGTCCAAATCTGGAAGTTATAAATGGTAAATACAGAGTCTTTCCCTAGCCCTTAAACAGATAAGATTGGTTTTCTTTTCAATTGTGTAAAATTTTAAGTAAGAGTTCACAGTAATAGTACATAAGTTTTGCTTACCTTTACAAAAACATCTACAGTGCTCTTAATATTAATTGCTTTAGTGATTAATATTAACTGTTATATTAAATTATTAATATCTAATAAACATGCCAAAGTAAGAAAACAATTTAAAGAAAGCAGATCGTAAGACGAGGCGCTTAACCCCACGTCTACCACTCCCCACCATTTCTATCGGTATCTATTCTATTATTATTATCCAGTCAATCAGTTACTCATGATGACTAAATGGCTCTTTAATTCTTAATTATGTATACCAGAGTTAAACTAAGTCCAATTTTGTATAAACTATATTTTTTTGTACCATGTTCCAATTACAAAAAAATATAGTATGTTCTATCGATATATCTAAGAATAATTTTTTTATGTATTAGAGTTACCAGTATATTGTTTTACTCATAGGAGCAGACTTTGTATTTCGATTGGGAGGGAGGGTGCGAGATACTAGAAAAAAAACAACGTAATGGGAGGTAATCTATAAAAACTAATTAATTATAAATTATCTATAAAAAGTCTTTTTTTTTAAAACAATTTATATCCATATAAATTTGTAACCATAACATGTTATGGAGGATTGTTAAAAAACAATCGAACAGATTACATATTTTTATATATCAAATATAGAGGAAAAAATCTAATTTTCTAGTTTTATTTACAAGTTTTTAACTAAAACAAAATATACTAAATACTAAATATTTATTTATAATCTACACTTCCTCAAAATAAAATGAAAATATCAATAAAAAAAACTTGTACTGAAAAAACAGAATTCTTTCACAGTCTAATTGATTAGTAATGTAAGAGTTCACAGAGATTTTTTGCATAAAATAGAGTTATACGATATTAGCAAGAAATGTTGAAATTTTATTAAAGAATCATAGAAAAATAATCAGTTTTAAGTTATATCGTAAAAAAAACTCAATTTTCACATAAGATCTTTTGCACCAGCATATTATGTTACTATAACTTCTATTTTTTTAAAAATTATGTATTGAGTTTATCTAATATTTTATTGTTTTTATTACTATTTTATTATTGTTATTATAATAGTTAAATATTGTAATTGTGGGTTGATGGTGAATAATGAAGAGAAGGATAGTTGGGGTGATCAGTCAAAATAAAAAATGGCAAAAATAAATAATAATATTTATTTTAACATTTGCCGACGTTTCGACCCGAAGTTCAGGCCTTCATCAGGGCTGAGAAAAGAGCCAGATAACAACAATTGGTATGAGAAACATAAACATTATAGGTAAAAAAAACTTAAAAGAGTAAAATGAAGTAGATAAATGAACATTAAAGTAAAATCAAGTAGGTAGAATAATAACAATGACAAGAACTAAGAAATAAATAATAATGACGGTTACAAAGTGTGGACTAATGAAGTAAACATAATAAAAAAAAAAAAAAGTACTAAAATGGTAATATGTTCCAAATTTAATCACTATAAACAAGTTGCAAGTGTAATAAAATACTTTTATCAATATAACATAAACTTCATGACAACAGAGCTCAAAATCTGGAAGTTATAAATGGTAAATACATAACAAATAAAAAAAAATTTAATCTATTTATACACCATACCTTAGAGATAATATTTTTTATCATCGCCACCATTTCCTAATAAGTAGGCCTCAGGGCCATGCAACGGGAGAGATTGCCCCTATCTTGTTAGAACACTCGCCATTTGTTAGAAATTTAAAAAAAGAAAAATACAAAACGTATTAAAATAATCAATTTTGGCTTATCAATAAAGAAACCAAATATTGAATGAAATAAAATTCAAATATTATATAATTATAACAATATAAAGGTTTAGACATTAAGAAACTTAGTAGGATATTTCTTCAGTTAATGACTACTCAAATTATATATCACATTTATTTTTGGTTCTTCAAAACTACATTTCACAAGTTAAGAAAAATAAATAAAATATAAATATACGATTTGCTTAAAATACTATTAAATTACAAACCATTTGTTTTGGAGCAGAGTTCTTTTATTTATTTCATTATTTACATTTTCATATGTACACTTTTCTACATGTAATAATTAAACCTTTTTTTTTTCTTTCTTCCGCTTTATTTTCTTTTTCTTAAATGAAAATGATTTCTCCTTCTTTATCTCTTGAAAACGTTCAGTTTCCTCTTGTTTCAAGAGGACTTTCAATTCTTGGAGGGCTGTTTTGTATTTTATCATCATTTCTTTTAAGTTTTGTTCATCAACAGCCATCTGTTTTACATCATTCTTGTTCACATCGAGTAGCATTTGGTTGAATAAGGGAGCTTGATGGGATGAAAGCAATGTAATGGCCTTGCCTTTCGTTCCTGCACGCCCTGTTCGTCCGACTCTGTGAATATAACTTTTAATATGCTTAGGAGGGTCATAAGAAACAACATATTTTACTCCGCTGATATCGACACCCCTTGCCATTACATCAGAGCAAACTAGCACATTCACCAATCCAGAAGAAAAATCATGAAGAATTTTTTCTCTTTGATCAGCAGGTAAAAGAGATGATATCTCCATCACTATAATTTCAGGATTCATAAGAGAAAGCAATTTCGATAATTTGTGTGCATCAATAGCAGATTTGGTAAAGCATAACATATTTTTCTTAGTAGATTTTAATAATTCACATAGGACCAATGGTTTCATAGTAGGTTCGACAATAATATATTTCTCTTTTAAAGTTGAAGGAGTTGTAAACGACCCAATATAATCCTCAGTTTTATCTGAATTGTTATTTTGAGACACAGTGGAAAACAATATAGGTTGAAATAAATTAAGTCTTTTTAGTAACTCTGGGTCCTGGGAAAGTGTAGCAGAAAAGAGCAATTTTTGGGGATGCCTTTTTCTCTGATCTAGGTCTCTTAATGATAGTTGAGTAATGCTCTTGTGCCCTTCTAAATTAACATGCTTATCAAGATGATAAAGCCAGTTATTCTGAATATTATCTATCATTCTATCAGCTTCATCCATCACCAAATACCGTAAATAACTAAGATCAAATCCCTTTGTATTTTCTAAATGTTCTACTAACCTTCCTGGAGTTGTAACAAGGATATCAACTAAGCTTTCATAATCACATAAGTCATAGCCTTTGATGAGCTTTGTTGTTTCTATGTTGAGAGGAGTTTTGCCAGTAGCTGATTCAACTTTAAGGCCTGTACCTTTACAATAAGTTTTAAAGACATTAGTAACCTGAATCGCTAATTCTTGAACAGGAACTACTACTAAGGCTCGAATTTTCGGAACAAGTCTCTTATGTAAACTCTGAACAATAGGAAGAACATATGCTAAGGTTTTACCGCTACCAGTAGGCGCAGACACACACAAGTCCCTTGGCCTCATCATGGATGAATTCGATAATCCAAATTTCGAGATATCATTCACTAACCAAGGAATGACAGCTTTCTGAACAGGGAAAAAAACAATTACATCATTAGATTTTAAAGTGGAAAGTAACTTTTCACTCAGAAATTTTTTCATTTCCTCAACCGGGCACTTTTCACCATCAAGATCAGCAGATATTTGATTAGGGTTTGCTAACCAATCAGGTAAATGATGTTGCACTTTGGTATTTCTAACAGTCGAATAGCTTCCAAGGATGGTGAAACTTTCTTTCTTCTCTTCAATATTTTCAGGCTCTTTCTGTTCTTCATTATCCTGCTCTGGTTCACCGGTTTTCAATAATTTACGTTTTTTAACTTTTTCTAAAAGAGATTCAAAAGCTTTTCGTTTATGGTTTTTCACTCTTTTTTGTATCCCACCATCAGAACGCTCTAATGTCAACATTTTTAATGAAACAATTCAGAAATTCAAGAGACACTTCAACCACATGGCACTGTTTACAATCTTGCACTGCTTAGCAAGGCTAGGCCAAAGAGGTAGTTGCTGCGCCGTGAAGCATGGATTTCGGAAAGTTCATCAAGATCAAACATGGTTGTTACGGAGGAATTTCCTCGAACTAATAATTATCATACCAATTTACTATTACTAGCAGTAATTATCAAGATCGGTAGTTGGAGTTAAAAAATAACGTATCGATAGGTTGCAGTCCGTCTGCAAAAAATATATTGGGACATATCGACGTTTTAAAAGCCAGTAAGTGCAAAAACTAAAATCTTTCACAAAATGGAATAAAATGCCTATATTTTATTTTATGACCTAGATTTTCAGTCCAATTTTCATTGCATACTTAACTCAAAAGTTTACATTTATGATTTATATTTTTGAATATGCGGCAGGTCGAAATTGACTGGAAAACAGTTTGTGTTGCTAAGGAAGAATATAAGATTCTATTAATTAATTGAGATTAAATAATTTTTTTTATTGTTCGGTATGGGTGAACTAAGGGCTAATAAGTGCTTATATAAATAAGAGATATGCTAGAACCTATTCCTTAAGGGTTTATTATTGTTTACTATTAGTTCAAGTTCAACTTTCTTTTTATCGGGCCGTTCCTAAATTCATCGATGAATTCAAGAATGGAATTCATCAAATTTCTTTATTCATCGATTGAAACACAGTTGGCATTAGCAGTTCCTTCGACTTTTGGGCTCGATGGATCCGCTGTATATAACCTTATTATAACCTCAATGTTGTCATTGAGTATTATACCTAGTACTGCCATAAATACTGTTACAAAAGTTTAACTTACATCCTTGGCTATTATTTACATAATTCTTATCTCTATCAGGTTATTTTCTTTACATTTCAGGATAATAATCCCAATTAGTTTGTATTTTTCTTTCGCTCAGTTAACATGGAGTGGTGTGATGAAGAAAACCGAATAGCTGTGATCGCCTTACACAAAGTTGGAAAATGAAGATCAGAGATTTTCAACACTTTGCTAAGGGGCCACCAATGCTGGAAACCGTGGAAAAGAAAAGGCTCAAATGGTTCGTTCATGTTATGAGGATGGACGAGGACAGGGAACCCAGAAAATTTCTTGAGGCAAGTCCCACAGAAAAGAGACCAAGAGGACGTCCACGCAGAACTTGGATTGACGAAATAACCAAGCTCGGACAGAGAAGAGGCGAGCAGTTAGGTTATATGAGGGACCTGACGAGAGACCGTGTTGACTAAATGTGTAAATGGGTCGAGGCACCTCCACGCTGAAATGCAATAAAGAGAAAGACAAAGAAGAAAAAGAAGATACTGCTTATTGATTGGTTTAACGTTAATATAATAAATAAAATGGGTTTATGGTATGGTATGTATTTTGAAATATATTACCTAAAATAATGTTACAACACTGTTGACTTGATTTTATTAAAAAGGGGAGGGGTATGAAAGAAAGAGCTAGACAAAATTAAGATTGCTATTTCTGAATGAAAATCATAGTTCATGTCCTATGATATCCCCGTAAAAATGTTATTTATGTTTTACAAACAGAATTTTTTTAAAACTAAGCTAAGAAATCTTAGTTATTTTTTCCTGTGGTGTATGTACTGGCTTTCTCCGCAGTCTGATTTAGATGTAAGACTTCGTTGTCAGTTGGTCAACTTGGATATACTTAAGCGTTTGCATCTGCGCTTCATGTAAAATTTATAGGATAATGTAAAACAATATATGCATTTCCAAGCTAATTGTAACCTTTTCCAATTCAAATTTTACCCTTTTCAAGGCAAATGTAATCTTTTCTATTTCAAATTTAACTCCTTTAGGTTAGATTCGAATTGAAAAGAGTTATATTTGAAATGGAAAAAGTTTAAGGGGACCCTACACGGTCAACCGGAATTGCATTAATGACGTTCCGAATTGTCATGTAAGGTGAATGAAGTACTGATGGTGGTGCGCTGCGGATTTCCGAACATCCGGAAATCAAAGGTTCATTCACGAGAAGTGGAGGGGAGACCGACTAAACATATAGGCTGGGGAGACCAACCATACTGCTGGATAGGTTAGGTTACCTAGGCCTCACAACCATTATAAATTTCTGATTTTCATTATATGTAAATAGTTAAATAATTTTTCATATCCCTTGTTTATAATTTAAAACCATCTTCAACTATTTCTTTTAAATAGTCAAGTGGGCAACAAATGAAAAAAAAAATGAGGAAACTTCACAAATTACTTTAGGAAAAAAAAACTTTAACGTTGTGTATATTTATCAGTTCTTTTCCCATTTTCCTCAACAAATTTATTATTTTCGCAATACTTTTCCTTAATTTTTGTAAGTAGTAGACTTATATTTTACTAACTTTTGTCAAACCGATATGAGACTAACCTTACTACTAGATAGGTTAGTTTACCTAGGTCTCGTTATTAAGTAAATAATTTCATAAAAGTAAATAGTTGTTTATATCCCTAGTCTATATTATTATTAACCATTTTCAACTATTTTTTCTTTAAATAGTCAAGTAGGCAATAAATTGGAGAGAAAAAAAAGTCGAAACTTCACATAAGTAATGATCAGTAATGATTGAACGTGTAAGGGTCTTCATGATCAAAGCGATAGCGGGCAATCTTGGAACTTCTTGTGACGTTCATTCATGAATTACCGTGTAGGGTCTGCTTTACAATTGGCTTGGAAATGCTTTATGCGACAAGCGATTGCCTACTGTTTTTCAAAATGATTGGCATTTATTAAATTATTGAAAGTATTTACGACGTTCCAATGGGTCGTAACGAGATGTTTTATAGCCTATAGTCAACGTCAACAAACGGTCTATCTAATCTAATTTGGTTTTAACAAATCAGACTTCTAGTTTCTGAAATCAGGGCTTTCGAAACTACTAGCTATTCTAATTTATATATTGGTCATTTCATATGATATGTCCATTTTTATTATTTCAGAAATTCAAAGTGTGATAGTGGACTTTTGTTGTTTACAAATCATAATGAGCGGTTATTAATTCTCTCATTTGTTTATAATATTCATTATCATTCCAATTGATTGCACATTTTTTAGTATGCCAACAAATATTACCATGGAGACAAGCGATTTTCGAGTTTTTTTGTATGAGTTTAAGCTTGAACTTGAAGCTGCGGCGTTCGGGAATGGGTGTTGTAACGAACGGGTCATTCGCCGGTGGTTTGAGAAAAAAAAATGTATCAAAAACAGCATTGATTTCTGTGTTGTGGTCAATGGCAGGAATAACTTATTCCTCATGTTTACCCAGAGGTGAAACCATCACATCCACATCGTACTGCAGTGATATTGGCATAATGCATAAAAAACTTGACGAAAAAACAACCTTCATTGGTTAATCGTAAGGGACCTATACTCTTACACGACAATGCCAGACCTCATGTTTCACGACAGACAGTGAAGAAACTCAACTAGGTTACGATTAAATAATGAAAATGTAATCAGCAGAGAAATAGACAACAGAATAATGGCTGGTAATAGAGCTTACTATGCAAACCGAAAACTTCTCAAGTTTCCATTGTTGTCAAAAGCCACAAAAATAAAGCTGTACAAAACGCTTATTAGACCAGTAGTCATCTATGGAATGGGAACCTGGTGTTTATAGCAAGAGGATTGCCGTAAACTAAAAGTATTCGAAAGGAAAAAAAGAAGGATTTACGGTGCTACAATTGTTAATGGTGAGTGGAAAATGAAAAGTAACAATGAAATAGAGGCTATATTAGAGAATTCAAGCATCACTAACTATATCAAGGCAAGTTGGCTGAGATGGGCAGGACATGTAGTCAGAATGGAGAATGAACGGGTGCAGAGAAAAATATGGCAAGCACACTTCAATGGGAAGAGAAAAAGAGGAAGACCGAGAAGCAGATGGAAGGATGAAGTGGAGAGATAATCGAAGAAGCTAGTAGGATTGGAAGAGAGTAGCACAGGACAAAGAGAAGTGGAGAAAAATAATTCAGGAGGCCAAGGGTCATACGAAGTTCTTCCACACCCATCTTATTCGCCAGACTTGTCTCCATCATCTGTTCATTAACTTAGACAACTTCTTTAAAGGAAATTTATTTTAAAAAATGATTCTAAGGCCAAAAACTCTTTTTATGTCTTCACAAAACCGTTCTGGGATTGAAAAGTTGGGAAAAATGTATAGAAAATGATAGGAAGTATTTTAATAAAATTGTTTTGATTCCGTAAAACTTTTTTCACTTCATAACTTTTCCTGTGAAAACTGACATTTAATATGAAACGAGCCAATAGTATGGATTATTTGGGTTGGGTCAAGTTTCCGGTCCCCATAGGCCAAGTTAGAGTTGGAAGAAATAGGAGGAGAACCTAGATGCGAGGGGGACTGACAAAACTCGCACTTGGCCGCTATTCGGGAGCTTTATCTCTCGGTTCCAGGCCATTGGCCGCCGCCTTATGAGAAATGCCTTAATATAAGTTCCATTCTCTGCTGGGGAATGTGATCGATATGGTCACCGCTCCCTCCTCAATCTACTCCCCGGTGACTACTATAAAATGGATACCGACACCTCCGGAAGATCCACGCCTCATTTAACTTATGCTAGCTAGTAGGCGGAGCATAAACATACATTGGTCAGCCATTTCCACCCCTCAATTTACTCATTTGAGGATTTAAAGAAAACTAATAATTTGGTTTCTCATCTTCAGTAATAAATTTGCTATAGCAGAAGTTGAACTCTCTTCGTTTCATACTGGAGATCGGCTAACTTTGTCTGTTTAATTAGGTACTAAAAACTAGTAAATACCATTTGATTTTCACTAGGAACGTGAGAGAATTTGATCGCTAAATCGAGAAAAAATGTTGCTTACAAAAATATTAAGCCTTTCGGCCTGTATAACCTCGTTATTTTGAAACATTTGGGATATAGTTGACGCCAAACGATTCAATATTTTTGTAATGATATAGAGCCGGTTGACCGTGATATAATATGAGAAGGAGTTGATCGGGGGTGCGATAGACTTAAGGGATAGACTCAGCAGTCTATCAACTGCCTCCTGCAGTGCCACATGCCACGCCCTGATGAAGACCTGCAAGGTGGGTCGAAACGCCGGCGTAATAATTAAAAATACTATTTTTTAAAATTTAGTATTTATTTTACCGCACCCCCCCCGATCAATTTCTTCTCAATATTTTTGTAGGCCACTCTTTTTTGTGATCTTGTGATCAAATTATCTTACGATCCAAGTGAAAAGCAAATGGTAATTTTCGAGTTTTTAGTACCTAATTAAATAGACAAACTTTGCCGATCTCCAGATTGAAGAAAACATCCCAATTCCGAAATTTTCTTTAATAAAATGGTTAATAGATTACGATGAAATTTACC